CCCCCGCCATGCACAGGACTTACTTAACCATGGGGGCAGAGGCGTGACAAAGATGGGAGGGGGAGGCAGACACAGCCATGAGGGGGGCCTCGTGGACCGTGCTCCGTGCTCCCGCTGAGCCAGGCCACAGGTCCCTTGGTCCTCGGCAGAGCTGCATGGGGGGTGAGGGCGGGGCCTCTCCCAGGGATGCAGGCACAGGTGGGCTTCTACAGGGCAGGGGTGAAGAGTCGGGGGCAGGGCGTGGAGGAGGCAGTGGGGATGTCGGGCCTGGCACCCCCAGGCCCTGCCTTCTGATTCCCAGCAGATGGGGCGTCACGTGAGCAAACACAGCAGTCAGGGAACCAGGAGCCGAGGGACCAGGCAGACGGCAAGTGCGGAGGGGGCGGGACTGGCGCAAAGGGGCCTTTCAGACAGTGCGGAGGAGGGGCTGGCTGGGCCTCGAGCCCCCCAGGCTTACCCTCTGCCCGTCTGGTCCTCATGCCTCCCCGAGAGTTCCTTGAGGCCCCCGGGGAGTCCCGCAGATTCTGGGGTCAGGCCTGGACTGCGGGGGAGAGGGGCCAAGGGCGTGGGAGGAGCTCGGGACACACAATTTCCGACCCCTGCCTGGGGCCAGCCTGCCCCTCAAGCCCCAAACTCTCCCTGGCTCCCTGGGGGCTTGGCCTGAGCTAGAACATCCTGGAGCTCCCCTGCCCTCAGACCCTGCTGGGCCCCGGGCTCAGCGCTTTGCACACCCCCTCGTTCCTGCGAGGCGGGTGCTCCTGATGTGTCCACTTGAGAGACGAGGACACTGAGGCACGGGAGGCTTACCCACGAGGAACTGCTTGTCTTCGGGGCTCCGGAGTCTGCGATCTTGCCCACCGTGCTCTCCCGGCCCCCGCAGTCGAGAGGGGGCTCCTGGGCCAGGCCAGGCTCGTGCTGGGTGCCAGAGAGCGTGTGCCTTTGTCTCGAACCCCAGCCGTGCCCCTGCCGAGCCCGCGCTCTGCTAGGGTGTCAGGACCCACGGAGACAGCAAGGCCCGTCTGCCTGGGGAGAACCCTGGCTTTGTTCGTCTCTGGTGGTGTGAACGTGGGCGTCTGCCTCAGTAGCCTCATGTGGAAAAAGTGGGTAACAATAGTGTCGCCGTTGGGGGGCTGTTGTAAACACGAAGGAGTGATTGCGGGAAAGCAGGCAGAGCAGGGCTGGGCCATGTAGGTTAGCCTTTATCCTAAGATCTCCACATCGGGCAGACGGAGGCGCTGAGGCCCAGAGACAACTTCTAACAACTCAGGGGGCGGGGGGAGGGGCTTCATCCTGCCTCCCCCCTGGGGAGAGCTGGGGCCACTTGGGCTCTGGCAGGACCTCGGCCTCCCCCTCCTGTCTGAGAGGCGCTTTGGTGGGAAGGTCAGTGGGGTTGGCATCAGGCTCCTGAGCTGCTGCAGGCTCAGGCTCAGATAGTTTGTGGTACGCGTGGCAGTTCCAGGCAGGCAGAGATAAAGGCTGAGCCCCAGAGAAGCTGGCAGAGCTTCTAGGCATCAGTGGACAGGGCTCTACATTACAGGGAGGCGGCCGCGGGTGGGCTGGGGGGTGGCTCGCTGAGGAAGCCAGCCCTGCTCAGGCTCCCTGCGGGGCTGGCCCTTCTGCAGCTAATGGCTCTAGCCCGGCTCCCCCCACCCGGGCTCAGGGCCACTTCAGTGAACTCCAGATAAGCGACGGTGAGAGACTCGAGCCACCTCTCAGGCCTCTCTGCTCTGTCCTCAGGTCTATGCCTTCCCCCTCCCAGAAGCCTTGGCTTTGTCTTTCAAGGCCCACGCGGGAAAGCAGAGGGCCGCAGGGGCCCAAGGTTTTCACCTGCCTGGACCTCAGTGTCCCCACGATTCACAGAGATGAGCGTCCCACCCCCCGGGCAGGGTGGTTGCTGGGATCTGGAGCAACCCATGCATGGGAAGTGTGTACGTAGCTCATTGTGCAGCTTTGAGAGGTCTTCCCTAAACCCGGGCTGAAGATTTTGTCTTCAGGGTCACGTGGTGGCTGAATTAGAACTAGGTTCAAATCCTGGAACAATGACCTGGAACAAGCAGCTCAATCTCTCAAAGCCTCATTACTTAGGCTGTAAAATGGGGATGAAGACACCTAAGTCTCTAATATCTCTATGAGACCCTGTGGGGGATTAGGGGAGACAGCTGCCCACCTAGGGCCCCATGGGCAGTAGAGCCCTACGCTGAGCTGTCCCAGACCTTTGCTCCTTCATCACCCAGCTTGGCTGTGCCCCCGGGAGAGGCAGCCCAAGGTGGTAGCTCTGGGGCTGTCTGGTTCTGTCCCGGCTCCATCAACTCTGTGGACTTGGACAGGTGTATGAGCCTCTCTGTGCCTTGTTTCCTTCATCTTTAAAGTGACACTGGTAATGGTCCCTTGAGAAGGTTAAGTGAGCCACTACATTTTAAGTGCTGAGTGTAGTGCTCGGCACACCATAAGTGATATTGTCATTGCCACTGATCTGGGCCACCACCAAGGCCTCAGGAAGCAGCATGAGTTTATCCAGGAGCATTTGCTTTGTGCTCCCATGCCGTCACTGGGAAAGGCACCAGGCCCCCCAGAGCCCATGGGGGCCCTTGGACACTCCCATCCAATGGGGTCTTGATCTGCTGGCATGGAGTTCTTCAAGAATGGGGCTCCCTCCTTCTAATCTCTGTGACCCAAGTCCTGACCCACTTGGCCATTGTCCTGGGCCTGCAGGGGAGGCCTGAGTTCAAGTTGGGCTTGTTTCCTTGGGCAGCACTCTGTGGTTGCTTCTCTGCTGGGCTGAGTTCCCTTGGCTTCTTGGCCCCTCGCCTACGCTGGTTGGCTGACCCCCTCTGGGTCCCCGGACAAGTATGGCTCTCAGGGTCTGCTCTGTGGTTAGCACCTTGGGTCTCTG